GGGAATTTCTAGAGTGACCGACATTGTCTTATCTATAATATACAGTTAAAGGTTGCTTTTTTTATGTGATGATAGGTTGACCCTTTACAGTCTGGCTTTCGCTCACTCCACTCCACTGAAACTACCCTACTAAAACTCACTAATGATCTACTAACAGCTAAAACCAATGGCCACTACTCCATACTCTTACTACTTGACCTCTCTGTGGCTTTTGATATGGTTGACAATCCCCTCCTCAAAAAACTCCACTCTCTTGGCTTCAGAGACTCTGCTCTCTCCTGGTTCTCCTCCTACCTATCGCAGCGCTCCTTCAGCGTTACCTATAACTCTGCCTCCTCCTCTTCACTCCCTCTTTCTGTAGGGGTCCCTCAAGGTTCTGTCCTAGGACTCCTTCTCTTCTCCATCTACACCTCCTCCCTTGGTCACTTGATAAACTCCCATGGCTTTAAGTACCATCTCTATGCTGATGACACACAAATCTATCTTTCTACCCCTCACCTCACCCCTTCAGTCTCCTCTCGCATTACTAACCTACTAAGTGACAGATCGGCATGGATGCCACTCCACTTCCTCAAACTCAATCTTTCCAAAACTGAGCTCTTAGTATTCCCCCCAGCCTGTGCCCCCTCCCCTGACTTCTCCATCAAGATCAATAACACAATCATCATTCCCTCCCCTCATGCCAGGGTACTAGGTGTAATCCTTGACTCCCATCTGTCCTTTCAGTCCCAAATCCATTCACTGTCCAAATCTTGTAGACTTCACCTCCGCAACATCTCCAAGATACGCCCGTTCCTAACCTCAGAAACCACTAAGCAACTTATTCACTCCCTTGTTATATCTCGCCTTGACTATTGTAACTCCCTTCTCATTGGCCTACCTAATCGCAGGCTATCCCCTCTTCAGTCTATCATGAATGCTGCTGCCAGACTCATCCACCTTACTAACCGTTCTGTATCTGCCACCCCTCTCTGCCAATCCCTCCACTGGCTTCCCGTTGCCCAACGGATAAAATCAAAACATTAACAATAACGTATAAGGCCATTTATAACTCTGCCCCAAATTACATCAACGATCTTGTCTCTAAATATCACCCAAACCGTACTCTCTGTGTTAGGTACCTACCGGTGGTAGCCTCTAGCGTTCCACAGACCGGAATCCCCCAAGGCGCGGAATCTAAGCCCCAACCTGCTTGTTCACCAGTGCCCCTGATGGTGGGGATGGACTTGGAGTAGGCTGAGACTAGGTCGCGGCCCCTGGGTTCAGCCAGCTGCTGTAAAAGCACCACTGGAGGTGTATAGCAGGTGAGAGCCTGATGTGAGGAGGTAATAAGAGCAGCGTCGGGCACGCCGGGTTGGTGGAGGCAGAGTGGTACAAAATCAGTAAGCAGAAGGATAAACAGGTCACAAGCCGGGTTCGGTAACAGGAGATCAGAACGTGCAGGGTTAAGCAGGAGAATGGTCAGACAAGCCAGGGATCAGAACAGGAGACAGATAGCAAATCAGAGTCAGGCAGGGTCGGCAACAAGACAATCTACAATACAGGAACTCAGGATACAGGTAAGACCATACGGAAACTAGACACAGCCCTGACCTGTTTTAAATAGGGCGCCCTGCGCCCTGATTGGTGCCAGGCGTGCGTCTGCGATCGCGACTGCGCATGCGCAAGTGCCGCTGTAATCGCGGGTGCCCAGGTCCCAATGCTCGCACGCTAGTGCGGCCGGGCACACCGCGCATGCACAAACCCGTGAGCGATCACAGCCAGCTCTGGGGTCCCTGACACTCTGCTCCTCGCAAGACCTCCTGCTCTCTAGCTTCCTTGTCTCCTCCTCCCATGCTTGTCTCTAGGACTTCTCCAGAGCTTCCCCTATCCTCTGGAACTCTCTACCCCAATTTATCAGACTAACACCTACTCTGCTCACTTTTAGGCGATCTCTGAAAACCTATCTCTTCAGGGAAGCCTATCCTGCCCTCAGCTAATAATGGAATCTTCTACTCTTCCAACCAGTCCATCCCCCACAGTTACTACCTTTTGTACCACTAGCCCCTTCCTCCTAGATTGTAAGCTCCCAGGATCAGGCCCTCCTATCCCTCTTGTATTGAACTGTATTGTTGCTGTATTGTCTCCCGTTATATTGTAAAGTGCTGAGCAAACTGTTGGTGCTATAGAAATCCTGTATAATAATAATAATTGCCGTGGATAAGGGGGTACCACCAGTCCTCTTGCATGGGGCCCAGGCCAGCAGGGGGGCCCAAGCAGCTGGGTGAATCAGATGTGGGCAGGGAGGGTGATCGCCACGACAGGGGCAATTACTGGAACAGTTCTCCTGTTTGGCTTTCTGTGCAGCAGCTGAAATCTGGCTTTCAGCTGCTGCAGAGAGAGCCATACAGGGGATTCCAGTAATTGCCCCCCTGCTGCACCCATAACCCTCCCTGTGCACCATATGGTTCCCCATGCTTCCCAGGCCCCCCTGTGTGCCCCCACAGTGCTGCCGGCTTCCCTCCTCTCCTTTTCACCGGCAGCTGCAAGCACACAATAGAATCCTACAGGATAGAGAGCGGTGGAAAGAGTCTGGTAAATATATAGCATTTACCAGCCCCTTTCTTTCCTAAATGAACACAATAAGTGTTGAGTACCAATCACTCACTGTGTTCATTTATAACTGAAGCATAGTAAACTGTGTTTTTTTTGGGGGGGGGGGGGGGGTTCTGTTCAGGTTGGCTGTACGGGGCCCTGTGGTTTCTAACAGCAGCCTTGGTTCTGATCCCTAATAGAGGAATGCATTTACTTGTTTAATTTTGTTTGAATTAAGTGTTTGGTAGCTTACAGGCAATTAAAAATGATTGATGGACAGTTTGTAGTGATTTTAGGGCAAAAGGAGATAGATCAGGGCTGGATAAGTAGATGTGGATGCCAAAGCTATACAGATGCAATGAGCAAGGCTGTGGATAAGGGGGTAGCACTCATCTTCCTGTAGGGGGCCCAGGCAGCTGGGTGAATCAGATGTGGGCAGGGAGGATGATCGGCATGGTGTGGGGGGCAGTTACTGTAACCGATCCCCTGCATGGCTCTCTCTGCATCAGCTGAAAGTTGGCTTCTTATCCTCTCCTTGCTGCTAGCTTTAAGCTGCTGCAGAGAGAGGCATACAGGGGATCGGTTCCAGTAATTGCCCCCCACCACACCCATCACCCTCCCTGTGCACCATACATTTCACCCTTCCGCCCAGGCCCCCCTGTCTGCCTCCACCCCCACAGTGCTGCTGTTTTCCCTCCTCCACTTTCCACCGGCAGCTGCAAGCACACAATAGGATCCTTCAACATGGAGAGTGGAAGAGGGGGTCTGGTAAATATGTCACATTTACCAGCACCTTCCTTTCCTGACTGAACACAATGAGTGATTGGTTCTGATCACTCCCTATGTTCATTCATAACTGAAGCATAGTATACTGTGTTTTTTTCTGGGAAGGGGGGCTTTCAAGTTGGCTGTATGGGGCCCCGTGGTTTTTAACAGCAGCACTGGCTATGAGATTAAAGAAAACCATTGATTTGCCAAGATTAGTATTATACAGTATATAGAGAAATATAGTCTACATTTCCTGCACCTTACAACAGAAACAGGCAAGAGAGGGAAGTATTGACTTTCTTTAATTTTTTTTTTTTAATGTTCTGTATTTCAAATTTAGACAGGTCCTCATATTCATATCGTTGTTCTTATGTTCCTTGTAACTACAAACCAAAATGTAGATGTTTGATGCAAATACATTCAGTGAAAATGTACAGAACATGTCTGCGGTGGGGACATGCAAATCAAAAAAGCTTCAGATTAACAGCCTTGTTTTAACTTTTGCTTTACAATTTGGGTTACGCATTCAAGTTGTGAAGTTCATAGACAACTAGGTTGCTCAGTAAAACCTGACTTCTGAGATTCCTTTCATTGCTGAAGAGGTGGCCAGTTCTTTCGATCACAAAACATGTTAAATCTGGGCCTCATTGCTGCAGCCATCATTTCCTTTTTGGTAGGAATGACAACCCAATCATTCATAGTAACAGTGCATCTTGTTGACTATCTGAAAGGAAGACTGTTGAGTTCCGTTGACCAAATTCTGCTGTCCCTTGGGATTGTGAGGATGTGTTTTGAGGTTTTCTCATTGCTTGATGTGTTTTTTATTGTTTTCTTTCAAAATGCATTTCCTGTACCTGTAATGATATTTCTCTACCTGATCGTGAATGCGTCCAACCTGTCCAATATCTGGCTGACAACTGTGTTTTCCGTCATCTTCTGCCTAAAAATTGCCAATTTCCACAACGCTGTCTTCTTGCGCCTGAAGAACGGTCTATCTCAACAAGTTGTTCGTCTGATTATAGGTTCGTTTTGCTATCCTTTTGTTTCATGTCACTGTTTTTGTGGGTTGATAGTAATCTAAATCCACCTAAGCAACTCCGCAGTCACGCCAAAAATGAGACTGAATATTTGACCCATGTGTATATTTTTGTAGCTATGGGAAATAGCTTTCCATTCATTATATATTCCAGCTCAACAATTCTTCTCATTGCCTCTCTGTTCCTTCACATGAAGCAAATGAAATCTAACTCTAATGTTACAGCCAGTCTGGACACTTACTACAAAGCGATCAAGTTCATGTCTTTTTGCCTTCTTTGCTTTTCGTTACTGATGGCCACCAATGTAGCAATTTTGCGCTACTACAAATGCTTTGATGTTCTAGCACTCTTTATTGTTTGGCATGTTTTTCCAACCCTGCATTCCATTTACCTGATCTACAGAACAAACAAGTTAAGAGAATATTTCTGGAGAATCCTACCTTGTGGAACCAATTGCCGGTTCAATGGAAGACGCTCCGAGTCCCAGTCAAGAAACCAATTGGAAACAATCAGCCGTTGAGGTCATTTTGGTAACATACCATTATTAGTATTGGAGTTTATCATTTGCTTTGTTCAGAACATTTGAAGTTTAAGTGAGAACCAGGGGCGGACTGACAACGCATGGGGCCCCCGGGCAATAGGGGATCATGGAGCCCCTTTGTCCTTGCCCAAATTCAAAAAAGCCTATGAGAAAGGTACCAGGGGCATCTCATGGGGCCCCCTACCGACCCTGGGCCCTCGGGCAGTGCCCGAGTTTCCAAATGGTCAGGCCACCTCTGGTGAGAACATTTACTTGATAACTTAAATGAGAACATTTGAAGCCTAAGTGAAAACATAACTTAAATGATTAAAAATACAAGCTTTCAGGATGCCTTAGATTCCTTCTTCGGACTTTATATAGTAAATAATTGGGAATTATTATTATTATACAGGATTTATATAGCGCCAACAGTTTGCTAAGCGCTTTACAATATAACGGGAGACAATACAGCAACCATACAGTTCAATACAAGAGGGATAGGAGGGCCCTGCTCCTTGGAGCTTACAATCTAGGAGGGAGTTGCTAGTGGTATAAAAGGTAGTAACTGTGGGGGATGAACTGGTTGGAAGAGTAGAAGACTCCATTATTAGATGAGGGCAGGATAGGATTCCCTGAAGAGATAGGTTTTCAGAGATCACCTAAAAGTGAGCAGAATAGGCGATAGTCTGATAAATTGGGTAGAGAGTTCCAGAGGATGGGGGAAGCTCTGGAGAAGTCCTGGAGATGAGCATGGGAGGAGGAGACAAGGGAGCTAGAGAGCAGGAGGTTGTGCGAGGAGCGGAGAGTACAGTTTGATGATATTTGGAGACAAGATCGGTGATGTAATTCGGGGCAGAGTTATAAATGGCTTTATACGTTATTGTTAATGTTTTGAATTTTATCTGTTGGGCAACGGGAAGCCAGTGGAGGGATTGGCAGAGAGGGGTGGCAGATACAGAACGATTAGTAAGGTGGATGAGTCTGGCAGCAGCATTCATGATAGACTGAAGAGGGGATAGCCTGCGATGAGGTCGGCCAGTGAGGAGGGAGTTACAATAGTCAAGGAGAGAGATGACCAGGGAGTGAATAAGTTGCTTATACAAACCCTGTAGAAGGGATCTAAGCCATCCTTGAAATTTGCATCTTTAATAACTTAAAGCAGAATTCCAGTAATGTTTTTTTTCTTTTTCTACCATGCAGTGAGGGTTGTGCCCCCACTGCATGGATCCACTGTTCATTTTTTCCTTGGGGTGAGGACTAAGCTCATACTCACCTGACCAGCCGATCCTACAGAAAACCGCGCTTCCCCCTGTTAAGCGGTGGTCTTTTCCTGTCTGTGGTGCCTTGAGCGCACTGACGTCAGGAACAGTCCATTTACAAGACTGCTAGACCATGGGGGGGGGGGGGGGGGCAGGAGCCAAAAGGACTGGTCTTGAGGGGGGAGGATCGGCGAGTCAAGTGAGTATATCTTTGGTGTCCTTTCCCATTGAATAAAACAAGCATTTGACCCATGTAGCCCCACTGTACGGGCCAATAAATGTCTGCTTTAAGTTGGGCTATAAAGGGTATCACTTAAACTACAAACTGTTTGCACTAATCAATGGCTAACATGGTGCAACGCTCTACTACTGGCATATGCTTTATACTGTAAAAGACTTTGACTAGGATTGTAAAAGTTCCACAGGTCATAAATAACTGGTGGTGCAATACATTACTTTTTTTATTTATTATTACCTAAGATTTACACAACTTTTCACCTAAGAGTCACACTTTTTTAACCAAATATGTGAATTTTAGGTAAGCGTTGAGTGACATCAAAAGTCGCATGACAAGTCGCAGCCCATTCTTTTCAATGGAATCCATTCAAATCGGTGCAACTTAAAGTCGCAGCAACTGTAAAAAGGTGTCTACACTACTTAGATGTAACTTTTGATGTGACTTTGATCCAGAGAGTGTAAAGTTACGCTCCAAAGTCACACTGGAAATTGCATGACTTTGGAGTGGCGCAAGTGTGAATGGAATCTAAGTGTGTGCTGGTATAATACAGCTGTTGTGTTATAAAAAAAACAAATCTCAATGTCGGAATCCAGTTTTGCAACTTTGACATGTGTTAGTACATATCACAACTACTTAGTGTATCCAGATGGATTATGCCTTCTTTATGTCAGGACAAATTGGGCTTACACTTGCTGGGTAAATAGTAATGGATACTGGGTTCACACAGGAGCAGTGGGGAAAACACATGCAATTTGGACAGGAATAGGGCTGGACTGACCATTTTAAAACTTGGGCACTGCCCAAGGGCCCAGGGTCAGTAGGGGGCCCCATGACATGCCCCTGGTACCTTTTTCATAGGCTTTTTTGAGTTTGGGCAAGGACACAGGGGCCCCATGATCCCCTATTGCCCGGGGGCCCCATGAGTTGTCAGTCCACCCCTGGACAGGAATGACATTCCTCTTCAAATCGCATACTAATTATTGCGGTGCAATTTGTATTGACGCAAATTGTATCATAAAAGAACCAGTTTCCGGTATCGGTAGCGTTTTTACGAGTACTCGTGAAAATACTCAATATTGGCACCGATACCGGTATCGGTGCATCCCTATTATTTGTCCTAAATGCCCATATCTGTTCAGTTTGACCATTATCATGGACGGTTGAGAATATGGAGCAACCGCCTCCACAGTATACATCCCCATATGCCCACTCTCCACTGGGATCCATGCAGGGAGGTTTCCCGCATTGCTCCTGTGTGAACTTGGGCTATGACAAGCCCGGGTTCACACAGGAGCAGAGGGAAAACACATGCAATTTGAACAGGAATGACATTCCTGTTCAAATTGCATGCTAATTATTGAGGTGCAATTTGTATTGACGCAAATCACACCATAAAAGAACTAGTTTCCGGAGCGGGAGCGTTTTCATGAGTATTCGTGAAAATACTCGATATTGGCACCGATACTGGTATCGGTGCATCCCTATTATTTGTCGTAAATGCCCATATCTGTCCAGTTTGGCCATACACATGGAAGGTTGCATATTTGGGTATATGCATTCATATAGGGATGACCAGCCAGATACTTGAGCCTTTTGGTTATAAACATGGAATATGGAACATTGGAATATTGAGAATATGGAACAACTGCCTCCATAGTATACATCCCCATACGCCTACTCTCCACTCAGCCTGGGATCCATGCAGGGAGGTTTCCCGCATTGCTCCTGTGTGAACTTGGGCTATGACAAGCCTGGGTTCATACAAGAGCAGTGGGGAAACTGCATGCAATTTGGACAGGAATGACATTATTGTTCAAATCACATGTTAATCTTTGCGGCGCAATTTGTACTGATGCAAAAGTATCGGTTTCCGGTATCTGGAGCATTTTCATGAGTACTCGTAAAAAATACTCTATATTGACACCGTTACCGATATTAGTGCATTCCTATCATTTCTCCTAAATGCCCATATCTGTCTAGTTTGACCATAGACATGGAAGACACCATTTATTGCACACATGGTCACCTATCAACAACCTTAAAGTGTTGTGGATGTCACCATCTACCTGTGTATGGCCTGTTTTACTTCAATATTAAACAAAAGTCATGATTAAAAAGTGCATTATTTTATTATTTGCAGCAAGACTAACATGTACGTATTCCTTATTCCAGCTGATGGTGCCTCAGGGTGGCTGAAATGGAAATCAATGACCAAGCACGTTTTTATGGATCCTAAAATATCAGGAATTCTGCTACTTTCACTATACCAGATGTACATAATCTCAGAGTGGTTTGTTTAAAAACAATGACATATTTGTCAGAATCTGGTCATTTTTGGAGAATTTAGACCAGACATAAAATGTTTCTCACTACAGAGCCAATCAGCGGTAGTTGGTGTCTGAAAGTATCCCTACTGGTCCTCCTATTGATCCTTTTTTTTTCTCTACAAATTCCCTTGGACTATGAGTGCACATGGAGCCTTAACTTAAGTCAAGATACATAAAAGTATCTAACGGCAGAGCCTTCATGTTCATATTGAAGTTCTAACATTTGACAGTTGAATGATAGAAGGAGATGGGAGAATGACAGGAGTAGAAAAAGAAAGGCTTACTCTGAAGGATGTGTTCACAGATTGATCCTGGAATCCATGGGGATACATAAAAACAAAGAGATCATTATGAAGACTAACTTTGTACCTGCAACCCAGCAAACATGTTAGCTTTCTAAAGTTTAAGGAGGATCAGGTGCACAATATCTAGCCAGGGGACAATAATTGAATGTCCCCTGAAGTTGAATCATCAGCATAATAAAAAAAAAATTACATATATGATGAAGTATCTCACTACCATTGCCACAGAAGTGCTAATTCTACCATGACATAGTTTCATGAAATGTTGATACCGCCAGTAGATCTGTAATCTTTTCCATTTGCTAAATAAGGCCAAGCTGACCAGCAAATGGAAGGCTAGAATTACAGGCAGTGTTGGAACAAGGTCATCAAGAGCCCAAGGTGAAGTTGTCAAACTTCCTCCCCTCCCAATGTAGGTGCCCCTGATTGCCTTCTGCAGGTGGGATCTGTGTTACTAGGACTATGGTGCCACATCTGCCTGTTTGGCCATTGCAAGGTGCAAAGTTTAAGGAGGATCAGGTGCACAATAACTAGCCAATGGCTCCTAATAATTGAATGCCCCCTGAAGTTGAATCATTAGCATAATAAAAAAAATTTACATATATGATGAAGTATCTCACTACCATTGCCACAGAAGTGCTAATTCTACCATGACATAGTTTTATGAAAAGTTGATACCGCCAGTAGATCTGTAATCTTTTCCATTTGCTAAAAAAGGCCAAGCTGTCCAGCAAATGGAAGGCTAGAATTACAGGCAGTGTTGGGACAAGGTCATCAAGAGCCCAAGGTGAAGATGTCAAACTTCCTCCCCTCCCAATGTAGGTGCCCCTGATTGCCTTCTGCAGGTGGGATCTGTGTTACTAGGACTATGGTGCCACATCTGCCTGTTTGGCCGTTGCAAGGTGCAAAAAAAAAAAAAAAGAATGTTGAGCACACCCTGACACTTCCCTATGTATGCCACTGATGAAGACAATGGACCTCACCACTGGAGACATGACTGCTACTCTGCTTGGAATCCTCCTGTCAGGCAGGGCAGCCCCCAGGCACCAGGGCTGGTCAGTAAACGGATGAGGGTGAACGCACAGTTGAATGTACTCTATGGGCTGCTGCCTAACTGTACCTACGAATACATATAGATGATGTGCCCAGGGCAGCTGTCCCTACTGCCCCCCCCCCAGTCCTTGTCCTGGTTATAGGAAGTCAGTCTGAGCACCTAAATTGTCATGGCAGCAATCAATCAACAAGCAAGAGTCAATGATTGCAGCTTCCTTTAGTTCATCCAGGACAGTAGCCACCTTCCAGCAGCATTAAAGCCCTATGAAAAAAGCTTTAGAGAAAGCAAGAACTGGCGGGATCAGCAGGTTTTAATTAAACATTTACTCACACCAAGATAAAAATAAACCTTGCACAACTGTATTTACGAAGAAAAAAGGGAGCTTTTCCCATTATATAAACTTTAATGCATACATGGATAAGGCTGAGTCCTTTGAGGAACCCCTTAAGTTGTCTCCTTAAATTGCCATGCTATGCTTGTAGCAAACAATAAAAGCCCCATAGTCAAGAATAAAGAGAATGAAATCTAAATTTGGACAACCCATTTCAGCTTTAAGTGACTTTGTGCTTTGCCCAAGCTGCTTCCCTAACTTAGCCCTCTCCAGCCAGGGGCGAACTGACAACTCATGGGGCCCCCGGGCAATAGGGGATCATGGGGCCCCTGTGTCCTTGCCCAAACTCAAAAAGCCTATGAAAAAGGTACCAGAGGCATCTCATGGGGCCCCCTACTGACCCCGGGCCCTCGGGCAGTGCCCAAGTTTCCAAATGGTCAGTCCCCCCCCCCTGTCCCCAGCAGTACATATTTATTTTCCTTTCGCCCTCCTACCACTTCATTCAGCTGCAACCTGTGTAGGCTAAGAGGAGCTGGAATCGTAGCTTACACAGGATAATGGACTCCTCAATATGGCAGTGCAGATTGGTCACATGTTCCTACATAGTCACAAGCAGAGGTGTAGCTTGATGCTTGTGGGCTCAGAAGCAAAAGTTGGGGCCCCCCACTACCACCTACAGCTTCCACAGTGCACCAATATACTCCCTCCGTACACCATGACACTCCAAGTTGCTAAAGAGTTCTCTCCGATCTTTTTTTAACATAATGAGAGGGTAATTCCAAAGATTTTGGAGAAACTGTCCACATTGTGACATACCTCTACAGTTCTTTTCAATACCTTGGAGCAGAGGTAGCAACCTTTGAGAGCTGGAGATCTACCTGAACAACATGAAAGAGATCAAAGGTCACCGGGGTCAGCGCCTCCCCCCCCCCCCATTTTTTTTTTATCAAGGCCAAACTAAATCGTAAGGAAAATTGAAAAAAATATAATGTCACTGTAAAAACATAAACTTAGCTTACCTTGAAAAGAGACAGTGTCAGTCAATAGGGCAGTGGACAGTGTCACTAGAAAAGTGGATGGTGTCAAACAGAAGAGCAGAGGATGGTGTCAGTAGGGCAGTGGATGGAGTCAGTTAGAAGTGCAGTGGTTGGTGTAAGTAGGTCAGTAAATGGTGTCAGTCAGGAATTACAGTGGACAATGTCAGTAGGGCAATGGACAGAATCAATAGGGCAGTGGGCGGTGTCAATAGAGCAGTGGATAACACCATTATAGCAGTGGATGGTGTCAGTAGGGAAGTGGATGTTGTCAGCCAGAAGAGCAGTGGATGGTGCGAGTAGAGCAGTAAATGGTGTCAGTCAGGAGAATAGTGAATGGTTTCAGTAGGGAAGTGGACAGAATCAGTAGGGCAGTGGACAGTGTCAGTAGAGCAGTGGATGACTTCAGTAGGGCAGTGGATGGAGTCAGTTAGAAGTGTAGTGGTTGGTGTAAGTAGGGCAGTAAATGGTGTCAGTCAGGAATGCAGTGGACGATGTCAGTAGGGCAATGGACAGAATCAATAGGACAGTGGATGGTGTCAGTAGAGCAGTGGATGGTGTCAGTCAGAAGAGCAGTGGATGGTATGAGTAGGGCAGTAAATGATGTCAGTCAGGAATGCAGTTGAAGGTTTCAGTAGGGCAGTGGACAGAATCAGTAGGGCAGTGGACAATGTCAGTAGAGCAGTGGTTGACGTCAGTAGGGCAGTGGACAGTGTCAGTAGTTTTTATTTTTTATTTATTTATTTTTTCTATAATAATTTTTTACAATTTTTAACAGCTCTGTTACGGGGATTTGGTGAAGTATCAGGGGTCTAAACAGACACTTTTGAGACAGAGAAAAGAAATTGGGGACACAGTTCTCAACCTCCATCTCTGCAGCCATAGCTGCACAGTAGATTAAATAGGAAGCTCCTGAGGCTTCCTGTTCATTCAGAAACTGAAGCATAGTAAACAGTTTACTATGCTTCAGTTATGAATGGACACAGGAGTAATTGTTACTGATCCCTCACTCTGTGCATTCACAAAAGGAAGGGGCTGGCAAATATGAAATATTTACTGGCCCCTTCCCCTTGAAATAATCCAACACAGCAGCTGATGGAGGGGACACAGGGGAGAACACATAGGGGACAGGCAGCAAAAATAAATGTAACCCAGACAGAAGGGCTGAATGCCGGCAGGAGGGAGAGGTGGGGTTGCGGGCATTCAGAAGATGGAGGAGGAAAATACAGGGGATCGGCTCCTGTACATGCCACCACTGCGGAGGACATAGAGATGAGACAGTCCATGTAGCACTTGCTACTGTGCACTATGCAGTTATCATTCCCCTCAGCACCTTCACCCTTCTCCACCCAGCAGCCCCGTCCCTCCTTGCACCTATGTGGAGGGGATCTGTCAGGTCACATTCCGTACATACCAGCCTCTCAGGTGACCCGCTGACCACACACAGGCATGCTCTACTGTACAGTATGGATGACCCATTGACATGAGAGGGATGCTGCACGAGCCCCCCTGGAGCATAGGGGGGCTATACTTATGCTCACAAGTACTGGGTAGTGCTATCAGCTCCATTGCTGAGCAGAATGATGGAGGAGCCAAAGCCAGGTAAATATACACTGACCTGGGGAGGTGGTTGAATGGGCAAAGCACAGGTTTGTTATGTAAATAATCCCATTGAGTGTTCTGTAACCCTTATTTCTGTGTATGGTATGCAATTATACATGTACATGGCAGTGGCCATATTTGCTCATTATGTATTCAGGCTTTGCATCGAGGTTGTGCTTACCGATCCTTTAAATGAAAGTCTCAAAACAAGACCACTCTGCAGGAAAACAATGGACTCTTTTCAGTCTTTAATATCACAAAACACCCATATTGTTCACAAAAGCTGGGGACCTTGTCATCTTTCGATTGGGCTTTAGACCTGTGAAAGCAGACAGCTACATTTATGATGCCCACCATGGCTGAACATCTATTTTGTTCCAATAGAAGTTCATAGGTGGTGGCCCTCAAAAAGCCTGCCTGATAGATGTTGGGTGCAAGCATGTATATTTGTTTTAATTAGTACATAAAGTAATTTATGTTTAGGTATATCAAACTATATTATTAATATTTAAAGGAGTGTTGTGTTGTGATGTTTACTTTATTATTTATTATTATTATTATTATTATTATTATTATAATTATTAAAGAAAAACTATAAAAGCTTGAACTCAATTTTTATTATTTTTATTTTAAAGTGTTTTAAAGTTGAACTACATTGCATCTGAACATCTCAAATTAACAATTAATTCATTCATTTTTAATATTCAAAGCAATATTTTACTATTTGCTTTTTTTCTGAAGGATTGACTCAGCCTTGTGTTTTGGATAATTGTCATGTTGGAAGGTCCAAGTGAGCCCCAATTGGAGCTTCCAGGCTGATGAATGCAAATGGTCCTCCAATATTTTCTCTTGATAGGCTTCTTTGATCTTGCCATCAATTTTGATTACATTTTCTGTGCTTCTGTAGCTCTCTTGCCCCCAAAACAGCAAATAATTAACATTGCAGGCAAGACAAATTTTACTCCAAACTGGCACACAATTATGAAGTGGTCTGGGCAGTTTTATTATTACTTACAGTAATTGAAGGATGAATTTATGAATCAAGCTGCAATATTATAATAAATATGCTTCTGTTTAAATTAGTTTTGCAATGTAATATGTAGACAGGTGCAGTCTGTTTTCTCCACTGTAGGTAGCTCTGCACCACAGCGGCAGGGCAGTGGGGAAAGGAAATGGAAGGAAACTGGGTTTCTCTATGACTTCTTCAGTCATATAGAGCAGTGGGCTGGTTGGATGCTCTTGTCCCCTGTGACCTTGGTGGCCATCTTGAGTCAGGTAGAGTCTATTTAAAACTCTGACCTGTTTTTTTTTTTGCTCTTTATGCGAGTGGTTAGTGCTAGTGTAGGGACAGTCTTAGTGGCAGAGAAAGGTTGCAGTGGAGTGGGGAAAGAGTAGGGACTATGGTGTTGATTTAGTAAAGGCAAATAGACAGACTCTGCAAGTGCAGTTGCTCTAGAGCAGGGGTGTCAAACTGGGGGCCCTTTAGCTGTTGCGAGACTACAAGTCCCATCATGCCTCTGCCTTTGGGAGTCATGCTTGTAACTGTCAATCATGCAATGCCTCATGGTACTTGTAGTTTAGCAACATCTGGAGGGCTGCCAGTTTGACACCAGTACTCTAGAGCTTTGTAAATTAGGTAAAGCTTCACTTTGCGAAGAATACCCAATCACGTGCAAAGAAAAGAAAAGAAACAACATTTTTGCTTGCACATGATTGGATGATGGAAGTCAGCAGAGTTTTATCACATTTACTAAGCTCTTGGGCAACTGGTTAAGAGCTCAGTCTATTTTCTTTTAGCAAATCAACCCCTATGTCTACTTTCTCAGGAAGCTCACCATTGGGTTGGGTCGGCCAGGCCGCACTATGCTTTTCATGACAGTAAAGTCTGCGTGCTACAAATAATGATGCTAGTTAGAATGCCAGTCCCTATGTGCTTGGTCTCTGCTAGCAGCAACAGGTTAATGACAGCAATGTCCTCTCACCAGTCCCAGAAATACAGCAACAGGGGTTCTGCTGTTCAGATGTCAGCTCACCTCTAGATCTGCCTGGAGCAACTCCAGTCCTCAGCACATGACCTCAGGCTTGTATCAGGTTGATATGCATACAGGAGCAGTGATGTACACACCTTGGTGTCATCACAGCAAAGAGTAAATCCATTGGTATTCAAACTGTGAAAATAATGCTTTCTCTCTCTCTTTATATCCACTTCACATAGGGAACTGTAGTCCAATATTCCATTAACTGCCACAGTAAAGTTTCTTTCCTGAACTTCATCTCCCATGATTGATTGCTGCCTACCATCAAGTGTCTTGAGCTCCTTCTGCTTGCCAGCTACCTTGGTGGATGGAGGTGAGGTAGTGTTCAAACCCATTCAGCTGAAGTCCATTGGGAGCACAGAAAGTACTGCAGCACAGCATCCTAAATTGCTCTCTGTCTCTAGCTAAGCACCTGGTACATAGGACTGCAGGCAGAATCTACCACATGGAAAAGTGAAAAAATGTGCACATCTAAAGGCCCTACTAGCTGCTGGAGGGCATTGTAGCTTGTAGCTAGGGGCATACATGGAGGAATGGACTTCGCAGGAATGCACTGGCTAAACCAAAGGCCAGGTTGCCAAGCTAAATCCCATCCCTCTTGCCTGTATGGATATTATTAGGGATATAGCAGAGCCTCAAGCCCTCCTACCAGTTATATTTATATAGTGTAGGGTCATTATCACTCTTCTACCCTCAGACAAGGATAAACACCATTAGAATTCTATACCCATGAGCATGTTAGCAGGTGTAGAGCCCTTTTTCTGTTGCCCCTCCTCAGGTGTGATGTAGTGGGTGAAGC